CTGTTTGGGGTGCTCGGCAGAGTATACTGTCTACGGGGCCTCCGGGGGGTACGCGGATGGAATGTATTGACAGACATGCTGCATGGCGATGGTGTGGCCTACCGCATGTCTCTTACTCTCTAAGCAACAAGGTCTTGAGTCAACCTTCTTTCTCTTTCGGCCTCTGACGAGCTACCGCACCCAAACAGGTTTAAACAACGAATGTTTTGAATAAACACCGAATCTATCTCCAATCTCCAGATCTACAATTTGTTGTAATTGTCTGATGTGTGAACTTGAAACTAAAGAGAGTTAGAAGACCAAGAGGCTTTGAAGGGGATAAAAAACTCTGTTTTGGTTACAATGAGCTGTCTGAGCGTCTGAGCCACCCGTTACCCCCATCTCACTCGTGCATAATTTTCGCTATGCACGATAACCCCTGTTATGCACACGTTTATGCATATATATATATGCGCGCTCCAACTTATGCTTAGCTTTTGCTTATGGACGAAAAGCCCAGTTATGCACAAACATAAGCATGCGTAACAGGTCAGGGCCTAGCACAGCTGTCACGCAGCGCACCACGAAAAAACAACAGCACCTGCGGACAGGGGAAGTTCGTAGGAGGACTGTTGACCCACAGCCAATAGCATGAAGCCGCTTAAATCTGATAAATTTCACCTGTACGAAGTTTCCAGGAAGCTTTCTTAGCTCCAAGTCTGCTTCCTTAAACCAGAAAATTTGGAGCCCCAGTCCGAAACTGGGTATTTTCGGAACGCTTGGTCGGGAGCGAATTCACTTTCTTTTTCCTTCTCCTTGGTGAAGGAAACCAAATACCTATCTATCCCTTTGAATATACGTCGAAGGTGTGCCTGTTATTCTGCTGCGTGATTCTTTACCGGGCGTCTCCGGTCTCCAGTGAAGGGAGGCAAGACGGAATACCCGTAGACCCGTACGCACGTAGTGTATGTATGGATTTTTATTAGTTTGTGGTGCTGGCGGAGGCTGCGAACGATGCAACTACAATGTGAGGGAACCACATCACAATCAAATCTCCTACATCGGGTGCAAGTCAATAGATGTTAATAGAGCGTCGCCGCGTGGAGTACTCTATCTCCACTGTAGGACAGAGCGTACCAAAACTCGTTAAGCATCGTGGTTCTTGTTTGTTTGGTTGTGTCTTGAGTTCGCGTATTGGATGTATGTATATGAAATACAGCTACTACTCCAGTACATCCTGTAGTCTAGCACCACAGCTCTCGGGGGGCATGCACACGGAGGTTGTAAGAACTGGCCGCTTGAGAAAGAAAGCCCGGCGACGAACGCTCCCGGTCTGGTAAGAGCGTTCATTGTAGTCCTTACTGAATGGTTGTTACTGTTGTTGTTGAAACATACAGATGTCCTTGTTCTTGCTGTTGTTTGGTGTGGACAAAACAAGACGTTCTGACGTCGATATCGGAGATCACTGAAAACCAATTTCTGCGGTCTATGGTTTGATTTCGGCTTATTCTGTAGGTCACAAGAAAGCACATACAAAAACTCCGAAGTATGTAGTACATATCTACCAAGTCGCCACGGCGGTCTAGAGGTTAACGTCGTGAACTTACTTGTAGCAGAGGTTGGAGTTTGATTCTCTCCCTGGAGGTATGACAAACAACCTAGCCATTTGTGGTGGAAAACGACTTGTCTTAGTCATTTTGAGTGTAGTGCATGTGTAACTTCACGATCGACGACGGCAAGGGACGGCTGGACCCTTCACGCAATAAGAACCAAGGCAAATACCGCAAGAAAGAGGAAAAGTGGCGGATAAAAGCAACACTAAGAGAAGAACAATTCCCGCGTGACTCCGGGTGGATACATGCCTCGTATGCATACCAACCACGAGGGGTGGGGGGGGGTGGGGGGGGCGTACTCTTACGTTTTGCATGCCTTAGCGGTGACCATTGACCACGCGTCCTCGAGGGGATGGAGCATTGTTCCCACAGGAGGACCGATCACCGATGGCCAATCTTTCCTTTCTATTTTGCCAAAGGTGGCTCAAAAATGTCTTCCCTAGTCTGTCTATCCTAACGATATCCCTTCCCGCTTTTCAACCCACCCCCTACGCCCCAGTACAGCTACCGTTCTTTCCGCTCCATTCCATGCCTCAAACATCTCCCTGTACGTCCCATCTATTTTCCCAGCTCAGTCACGTACACTTCCCTCTCTTTCTTGTACCACGGACATTCCGCGACTACATTGACACGGTCTTCGCATTCGAAGCCGCAATCACATTAAATTGAACTCGTCGTCAGCGTTGTCTACCGTCGTGTGTCTCCGTCGACGTTCTCGAAGGCCTGTGTCCCCGGTCCTGAATTTGACCTCAAGCTTTGTTCCTGCATCCATTGGTCCATGTAGGTAGTCCCTGAACCCTATTCCTTCCTTCAACATTCCGTACACTTCTAGACCTGCCTTATCCTTGGATTCGTTCCTTAGATTCTGTTCTTCTCTCTCGGTACAAGCAACAGATATCTTCTTGATTCCCTGGACCCTCCGTTTCCAGCGTTTCATCTTCGTCGATGTCGAGCCCCTTCCATACGCCCTCTACAACCTTAACCCATTCCGTGGGTTGTCTACCCCTCTTTTTGTTTGCCCACTTCGCCTCCCATACATTTCTCGGCAACCTCTCCTCTCCCATCCCGCACATGCGATACTACCA